CTTAATTTACTATAAAAAAGCATTATATAACCTCATATACAAAAAATGAAAAATAAAAGAATTAAACAACTAATTAAAAAAGGGAGTACTAATATGCAAATCTCAGTGTGGTCCAAATAGTTTTTTCAATTGACAGTCTGCAAAAGGGTCCCCATCAAATTTCTATATTGCAGTGTTGTCCTGGCCACCGGCTGCAGTATGGAATATGAGAAGGGGAAAAGAGAAAAAAGACAGAGAAACCCTAAAAACAAAGGAAAAAAAGGGGACCCTAAAAAGAATTGTTGGGATGGGACTGGGACTTGATGATGAGAATTGGTGACAGTAGTAATTATACTTCACATTCACATGCGTGAACCTCTTTCTGCTAGCTATGCTACCACCAAACCTTATGGTAATTGGTTGAGGGCTGGTTTTGGATTATGAAACAAAAGGTTTCAAAGCAGAACAGGTAGCACCAGACTTCATAAATCATCAGTTGGTAAGTACATTCATTGTTTTAATAACGATTAAAATTCAAATTATAGTATTATCACGCTAAACTTGCCCCATCCCCCTACCCCAAATTATACCTGTTAAAAAAAAAAAAAACAAAACAGGTAGGCATTCAATAATTAATGCCATACAACTCAAAATTGTTGATATATAAATATATGAGAAAAGGAAAAATCAAGAGTCTTTGTATTAAAAATGTCGTGATGTATGTTTTTAATAATAGTTACATATGAATTAAGATAAAAAAAATCACATATAAATTTGATAAATTTATGATAAATTTTATGTTTAATATATTTAATAATTGTAATTGGATGTCCAAAAATATTAGGACACTTTGATTTTTCTTATTTTCAATAAAAATTACCTTTTCTTTTTGTTTTTTTTTTTTTTCATAATGGTCTTTTGCAATCCCCTGCACATGTTGCAAACACCATCTTCTAATCTCAGGAGAGTCCCACTGATATGGTGCTTACCTCCTGTTATCTGTCCAGGGCAGATTGAAGAAGACATTTTTGTTATCTCTGTATTAAGTCAAATTATGCATGAGTGTCATATTGTTATGTTTGAAAATTGCTAAAAGGAAATTATTTGTGTCACTTGGGATTAGGGACATGTATCTAGACTTAATTTGACAATGAATTTAAGCCCTTTAGTCAAAAAGATAATCGAAATGCTTTATGAATTCAACCATACATTACTTCTTCTTTTTTAACATTAATTAGATATTAAATTATACAATAAAAAATATTTTTTTCTTCTTAAATATTTTTTTATTCATCTAAAGATTCAACTTTAATACCTAAAACATAAAATTTAAAATTCTTAACTATTGAGATGTCCGTTTATGGACTCCAACCACACATTATTAAACAAAATCTTGTTTGGCAAAATACCCAAATTCACTCCCAAAGTATAGTGACAGCGATAGATCCATTCTCGAACAAAAAATGGGAACAAATCCACTCACAAAGTTTTTGGTTTGGACAAATCACTCCAAATTTAACGTGTAATATCATCTAATATTAGCAATTCATTAATTCGTTAATAGATTGTTGACGTCAGAGGATGTCAAATTAACAGATTGTTGATGTTAAATGATGTTACACATTAAATTTGAAATAATTTGTCCAAATCAAAACTTTATAGATAAATTTATCTCTATTTTTTGTTTAAGGGTTCCATCCCTACTACTATATTTGAGGTGGATTTGAGAATCTTGTTTCACAATTGGGATTGATTTTGACAAAACACTCGAGCAAACTTTCAACGTTGACATAATAAAAAAGCATTAATAAAGTGATATATATATTCAACTCATTTCCCGCTAAAAATATCTCATAATAATAATTATTATAATTATTATGAGTTTGGATTGAAAAATTGAACCCTTTCAAATTAAGTTGAATCTTAGATTTACTACTGGATCCCAAAAGAAACACCTTAACTAGCAAGTAGTACCAGAAGCTGGGTCCATGGTTTTATCTTAGAGTGTGGGACAGTGGGGATTGGGGACCAAGTTAGAATATCCAGTTGGCCAAAAAATTTTGCCCAATTTTTGTTTTGGGGAGGAAAGTTTCAAAGGAATTATTCCATTTATTCAGCAGAAAGGAATCTGCTTTGCTTAAAAAGCTTATCTTAGCTGCTGGAAATGGTCCATACGCCTATGCCATACATACATCAGCGGACAGCAGCTCAGCTTAAAGGACTCCTATGTCATGCCATCCCCTTTGCAGTCGGCTTTACGTCCCATTTTCCTGTTTTCATTCTTCCTTTCGTCTCCTTCCCCCTTGTCTAAAAAGGTCCTAATTCCAAAAGAGAAAAAGAGGAACAGGAAAACTCACAACCAAATGGACAATTTATCGCATTCTCTTGTTGTGATCCATTGGTGGTCACTGCAGCACAACAGGGTTGTCGGTGGATTACATCCTGACTAGTGGTCAATTTTTGTCAAAAGTAAGGTATTAACTTAATTTTTAATCTCTATCTTCTAACCATTATCCCTGTCAAAAAAAAAAAAAAAGGGAATATATCACATCCTTGGTAATGGATTAGATGAGCAATTAAACATGCATATGGGAAAATGACAGGAAAATGGTATATATCACCCAGCTACTCTGATCTTCTACCA